TTACACAAACTTCCCAGTTAAGGGGGTTTTAATTTTTGTTACCATCTAAATGTACACAGTGTGTCCAGGTTCTGTTAGGACTGTGTTCATTAAAACTACAAGATGTGAATTATTTTCAAAATTTCACTCTTTTTATTCAAAACTGAATCAATACATAGCTGGAATCGATTGAAAAGTTTTTGAAAATAATATATATATATATATACACAGGGGGGTCCAAAAAAATGTACTCACTCTTTGATAGACAGTATCTTTGGAACAAAATGACATGTAGTTACAATTCTTGCGCAGTAGTTTGCTGTAATGTTTTCTCAACAGATGGCAGAGGTCACGTGAGTGTCATGCCACATGCGCACTGTGAGCAGAAGGCAGCAGCAACAATGGCTGAAAGGTTGTTCTTTGAGCGATGCAAGACTGTATTGAAGTGGTACTGACGAAGTGCAATTCAAAATGAACAGTACTGTTAACTGCCACAGTTGTGTGTATTGGGCTCCTGTAAATCCACACGTTCACGTGGGCAAGGAAGTGAATCTACCGGGTGTTAATGTGTGGTGTGGTCTGTCATCGCGCAGTTTGATTGGTCCTTTCTTCTTTGAAGGTACCATAACTGGTCAGGTGTATCTCGATATGCTTCAGACAGCGATTTTCCCTACCATTCGAGAGATTTTACCTACAACGAGATGGTGCTCCACCTCACTGCCATCGAGATATCAGGGCATACTTGGATGACACTCTACCTGGACGATGGATAGGTCGAAGAGGTGCTACTGAGTACCCACCATGGTCTCCAGACCTAACACCTCTCGATTTCTACCTATGGGGAACCTTGAAGGATGAAGTTTATTGACAAAAGCAAGCTACACTGAACGTGCTATGAGAAACCATCGAAGCGTCATGTGCAGACATCACACCGGATGCACTGACAGCCGTAGTTCGCTCAGCAGTTCACTGGCATCGACACTATTTAGCCACTGATAGTGGTCACTTCGAACACATACAATGACTCACTCTCCCCCCCTCACAAGAATTGTAACTACATGTCATTTTCTTCCAAAGATATTGACTATCAAAGAGTGAGTACATTTTTTGGACCCCTCTGCATGTGTGTGTGTGTGTGTGTGTATATATATACACATACACAGTGTGTCCAGGTTCTGTTAGGACTGTGTTCATTAAAAATACAAGACGTGAATTATTTTCAAAATTTCTCTCTTTTTATTCAAAATAGTCTTCTGAATCAATACATAACTGGAATTGATGGAAAAGTTTTCGAAAACAGTCACTGTACTGCTTTTGTGGAATCGCAGTTAAAACTGCGGTACATTCCCTTTTGATGTCCTGGTTGGTGTAATGATGGTTTCCTTTCATCGCCAACTTAACTTTTGGGAACAACCAGAAATCTGCTGGAGCCAAATCTGGCGAATACGGAGGAAGATCAAGGACTGTGATCCTTTTCTGGCTAAGAAATCACGCATGATCTTCGATTTGTGGGGTGGGGCATTGTAATGGAGGGGTGACCAGGAACCTTGGTCTCAATATTCAGGTCGAATTCAAAGAATTCTCGCCCACAAACGATTGAGGACCCCGAGATAATCAGAATTCACTCTTTGACCTTCTGGCAGAAATTCCTTATGAATGATTCCTTTGGAATCGAAGAAAACAGTTAGCAGTTTCTTTACTTGACTCTTTTGCATGCGCACTTTCTTTGTTTTTTACTTCTTTGGGCTCAACCACGCTGCATTCTGCTGCTTTTGAGAGGCTCATATTGAAAATACCATTTCTCATCATCTGTAACAATAGATTTTGTAAATTTTGTATCACTTTGGGCCAGCTGTAACATGTCTTTGCAGTGTTCCACTCTGGCATTTTTTCGTCACCTGACAGCATGTGCGGTACAAACCGCGCACAGACTTTACTTTTGCCCACGTCATCAGTCAAAATTTGATGCACAGTACTTTTTGGTATTCCCAAAAGCTCCTGGATGAGTCTTGCAGAAACACATCTGCATGATGCAAGGATTTCATTCACTTTTTTCACATTTTCTTCAGTGCGACTTGTTCTTGGCTTTGATGCTCATGAAGCATCTTCAGTGTCCTCCCTGCCATCATGAAATACAGCATATCATCAAAAAATGTTTGAGCAACTCAAACAATCAGTACTGTACACATTTTTCATCATTTTGTATGCTTCTCCAGCTGTTTTGCCTAACTTCAAACAAAATTTGATGTTGGCTCTCTATTCAACTGTCATTTTCCGATGAGCATCAGAACAGTACCGTTACATTCAACATCAGAACACATGATGCAGTGATGCTTGCGCTTTGAAATTATAGACAGCCACAGCTGAAACTTCAAGAATCTTAACGCCACAACTCACCAACAGATGGCATTGCAGGGCAAAATTTAAAAAAATTAGTCCTAACAGATCCTGGACACACTGTGTATGCAAAGTATAACTCTGTATTTTGCTTCTTTTACTGCCATGGCATGCTTCCCCTTTCAAACCAAAGATTTTATTTGTAAGCAAATTGTGTGAGAGTTGTTAAGTCATGCACATTAAAAATATTCTTAAATCTATAGTATTTGAGCAGGCAAGGCATTTGCACAGTTGCTTCACACATGTTCTTATACAGTATAGGAGATATGAATTGCTGTTTGGCAGCAAATTCTTGCTACAGTAGCATATGGAGGATCCAGAATAGTGTAGTCAGTATAACAACTGGCTACAGGCTGTATCACCTAGGGGTCAGAGTTCGAGTCTCAGTAGGGTCAAGAATTTTCTCTTCTCCACTTTGTCCAGATTGGCTCTGGGCTCCACCCAGTCTCCTATCCAACGGGTACCAGGGGGCTTTTTCCCTCGGGGTAAAGCGGCTAAGGCGTGAAGCTGACCACTCACCTTCAGCTAGTGACAAGGTCAAGAAAATGTGGATCTCTACATCCACTCTCCAATATGCCCCATGGTGTAGTGCTTAATTAGTTAAACACAGGGACAACTTTACATTTTACCTTTTACTGTAGCAATTGGAGTGAGACTGAAGGTAGTTGTGCTTGCATTTTGATTTTCATCTCAGTTCTAGAAAACATGGGTTTTTGGGAAGTCAGTTTTGTGAGATTGGGTATTTTCTATGAAAATTATGCAGAAGAACACACAAGGACAATGCGATTTTAGATATATTTGAAACATTATCTAGCAGTCCACATGTGATCTTCTGATGGTGACACTGTGTAGTCTTGTAAGTGGATGTCAGGGTTGTTGAAGACGTTCTGCCACCATCATCAGGTTCCTCTGACACACTGGTAATGTACTCACAAGACTAGGTTTCACAGCCCATGTGTCCCACTCATCACTGTGAAAACTTCAGTCTTGTATCCAACAGTATTGGCAATGAATCCAAGTGAATCTAAGCAGAAAGTGAGTCTTCAATGAAAAGTACAGCAGTTCTTCTAAAATGTCTGACTGAAAATATGGTTTGTTAGATGGATCTCCCACTGTGAGAAAATTAATTTTACTGGTGAACCTGCCATTGTTTAGGCGTGGTCACTGTCTTTTCACCCTAGGGGCCCAAATTCAATCTCAGTGTCATCTATGTGCAATATGTATGGGACAAAATGGTGCTGCAGCAGTTTCTTCTCCTATCACATTGGGTTTCCCTTGCCAGAAATATTTCCAGCAATGCTCAGTATCTGTCATCAGGGGTTGGTATAGTATGCCCATTTGAGGTTGTATTTCTGAGGGAATCAGTCCCACCCCACCAGTACATCTGTTGTGCCTAGAATGAAGTTGTTGGTGATAAGTGCCCGGTACATTTTGATATTGTGTTCTTCATCAACTGCACATCACCAATATTTATATTTCAGATTTTGAGCTTCTGAAAGTATGTGGTGTCAGATGACCACACTCTTAATTTTCACTGCCTTGAAAATCTCTTACATTTCCTTAGTACTTGTGCTGATGAAGTTTGAGTATTCCTTTCTACAGTCGAGGAGCCAACAGTAATAAACGATTACAAAATGTTACTATAAATGAGTTGAAAGTGTTTTTGGATCTTTATTTTCTGTGTTGGGGTGCAGGTCATCATCAGAAATTTTAATCCCAGAGACCAAACGTGTCACACTGCTGTTCTGCTGGTGGGCAGTGGTCATATGCTTATCATAACTTCCTGCTTTTCATAAGAGCACAAATTTTTAGTAATAGAGATATTGAAACAAGAGCTAATTTTTTAAAATGACACTGTTGAAGTGGTCTTATCTGACAGTGAAAGTGAGCTTGATGAAGACACTGTAGTAGAAAGTGATAACAATAATCTGAGTGGAAGTTCAGATAGAATTTGGTCAGGCCAGCATCAACCAATGTTTAGACACAATTAAGCATGACAGTGAATGCCCATGACTTCTGGTGGCTATACAAGGGATGTACATAGTTTTGGCAATAGTAATGCAGATGAGACATGATGTAAGGGTCACACAGAAAGATCGTAGTCCACCATTGAACATTTCTATATACCACTGTAAGGTAACGTGATAAAATGCAACTGATTTTTTATATATTGAGATTTCTCCATATTTATGACAAGACTGAGAAGATATGTGGCTGACTTGGTATAATTAGACCATTCTTTGATGAGTTCAATAGGTTAGGCTGTATTTCAGTATCCATGTGAATATTTAGCTATGGATAAAATGAACGTGCTCTTCACAGAGAGTTATTCTCAAGCATGAATTCCTGAGAAATGTAAGTGCTTTGGTATAAATGTATACCTTTCAGCTTCAGAATGACCTTTGCAATTGTCAGAAGTAAGCATGAAAATAATAGAAAAGTATTCAGTCCTTGAAAAAGAATAATGTTGTGATATTTCTTTTTCACTGGGAAGCCATAGTTTTCCTGAGAGATAAAGCCATTTGAGCATATAATTTGCGTGACAGGTGTGTATTTTATTTTTGCTAGTTATACATAAATATATTTATGCTGGATATTTATTCCCTAGTGTTGTCTCGTTACAGGGCGGGAAAGTTTCAAGGAAGTTAGTTTACATCTGCCTTCGGAACGCTACAGTCCTGTGCGACGAGCCAGTGAGGGATGTGCTACAGGTCTGGGGTCACAATACCGGTCCAGTCCCCAACATCATCTTCACAGCCATCCTCATACACAATATACAGGTGGAGACAAAGAGGCCAATGTGAAGGCTCTTCAGCAGGAATGCCAACAGTTGCAGCAGGTGAATGAATGTTAGGGATATCAATACATATGAAATTCTGTATCAGTATTGGAGACACTTATATCATTACCAACTTTTGAAAATTTCTCAAGTATCTAATTAAATTCGACCTTAAACACTGTATATTTCCTTTCTTAGTGTTATAAACTTCCGTTCTTGATTGTGAATTACGATGACAAGTTTTGCTTCTAACTAGATGTCTTCGGAAACTGCATCTGTTTCCGTCCTCAGGTGAAGGAAAACACCTACTCTGTTGGGTCCGTTAGAAAGAGCTAGCCTCAATCACTGGACAAACCGATGTCACAAAACATGAAGATTATAAACACCTGAGACCAGGCTAAGTCCATGAGA